TTGCTCAGCATAATACCCTCCAGTTCCATCCACGTCGTTGCAAATGGCAAGATCTCATTCCTTTTGATGGCTGCATAATATTCCATTGTATATATATATACCACATCAGAAGTAGCACTTTTTAAAATTTATTTAATTATTTCTCATAGGAGAACAATTTTTCTCCCACCCTGAGTTCCAAACAGAGAAGCTTTCTTGCAAGTTTCTCTGGACTGGTGGCTGGAGTTTCTTTGGTTTCTTTTATATGAGGGTATAGACTTTACAGGCTCCTGGCTGTGAGTAGTTGTTTAGCTCTTTGCCTTCTCTGAACCCAAGGCCATGTCTCTAGCCCTTCATATGCAGTTCAAACTCCAGCTTCTAGCCTTGGCACATCATCTTATGACTTCCCATTCTAGTGAGTATCCTGTTCATTTCTAGCACCTTAGGGTTTCCCTTTGGAGCTTAGCAGTGCTTATAGACTTGGGGGAAGGAGGATGTATTTATTAAGAATTGCTATGTGTTTAATGGGGTGGAAGTTGGGGAAGCTATTAAATTCAGTCCACCTGGTTGTCTTCTATTATCTTTTTCAGTTGTCATCTAGCAGAGAACATGCGGCATAGGGTCAAAACGGTTTGAGGGGCAGAAAGTGGATGGTAAAGAGAATCCCAAAAGTTTGGAATGCACCTAAGCTCAGGGACTTGGGATTTGTAGCATATCATTAGTACAGGAGTGTAATAAGTGGTGTTGAATTGGAAGTGATTGAAGGAAAGTCATCCTGTCGTGGTAGGTAATGCTATAAACAAGGTCTGGGACAGTTGTATGTTTTAAAAATTTTATTAGGGCCAGTCTTCCTTGAAATGTTTTTATTTCATGTAAAGGATATAATGCTAAACATTTTAAATATCGTTCTTTTCAGAGTCGTTCTTTTCTCAAATATTGACTTCTCTCTCTTAGGTATGCATTGACAACGTATGCTGAAGAATATGCTCCACCATATGATTATCAGCCACTTGTGAGTATAAAATGGCCGAAAATACTTATTTATTTATGTACTTAAAATGATTCTTTATATTGAGTGTAAATAGTCAAGCTTGGGAAGAAAGGACAAATTGCTGAGATTCATGAGATTGTATATTTATTTAGAGATATTAGCTATTTGTGGGAGTCAATGGAATGTTTTATGGTTATGATTTATTTTTGGAAGTTTATAGAATTCAGGGAGAAAATATTGCAGTGTCCAAAATGTATTAGTTATTTTCTTCCTCATCTTGTTTTATTGTCCTTTTCCCTGAATTCAATTTATCTGGAATAAAAACCCACCTTTCAATTCATTTGTATTGCATTGACACATAAAAGTAAGTGGTGTAATTTAGCTCTGGGAGATGTGCATGTTGATAAAATATGTCCAGTTTATAATTTCATTTTACTTGTACTTAAAAAAGTTAAACAACAGAAACAAAATAAGGCTGTTTCCTCTTAGTCTTGTTATGGAAATCTTGACTAGTACAGTAGGTAAGAGATTTAACTATTGAAAAAGAGGAGGAAATAAAGTCATCTTTATTTTCAGAGAGTATTATTATGTTCTTAGGAGAACTAACATATTAAACTGAAAAGTAATTAGTAGAAATAAGACCATTTAGTAAGGTGATTGAATACAAAATAAGTATATCAAAAATAATATCTTTGCTTCATATCAGCTTAGTTAACTTATAAAAGAAAAAAACACAAATTACTATAGCAACACAAATTTTAAATAGTAAACTTAGTAAACTTATAAAAGAAAAAAACACAAATTACTATAGCAACACAAATTTTAAATACTTTTTTTTAAGATTTTATTTATTTATTTGAGAGAGAGAGAATGAGAGAGAGCACATGAGAGGGGGGAGGGTCAGAGG